TTTTTTCCTGCATGGCCAAACACAGCAATATTCCAGCTATATGATAGCAGCCTGTAGACAGTCAAGTGAATGTTATTGTGAGCAACAATCCATGCCATCAGGGTACTGGACACACAATCAACCCAGACACTGAGTCCATTATTGACCAGCCTAAGTTGATGGGGGACCTATGTCACAGGATATATCCTGACGTACCCTATTTTCGAACAGTTAAGATGGCTGATATTTCGAGGGATGAGTGACTCAAAACTCAAATTCTGCTTCATACCAGTAGGTGATGTCTTCACAACAATAGAATTCAGCTACTTTCCGAAAGAAAAAACAGTCCTCGATAAAAGCCGTTACCTCCATTGCGTCGTCTGTAAACTACCGCTGCACTCGAGTGGCGTCACCTATTTTCGAACACCTGATTGGTTTCGTACTATAGCGGGATTTTCATGAATGAACAACCCAGGTTTTGGCGCATAGTTATCAATATAATTCTTGCAGGTCGACATTAAAAATCAAAAAGTTATTGAAAGTTTGAAACCTTTTCACAAAACATGAATATTCATCAAATTATATTGTTCACACTACTATTTTACTCCTGATGACACAGGCACCAAAATTCTGAATGACATCGGACTGTTCTAACAGGTATACAACACTTCACATGAACGCAAACTATCATATCATATTTTATGATTGTCTATATTTGCAATATCTTTTGATTGTTTGATGTAAAGGGAGTGGATTTTGAATAATGTATAATTGTTGAAATGTAACACACTGTATTTTTTTTTATATGTGAATAAAGATTTAAATAGTAAATATAAAAAAATACTTCGCATGAACCCACTTTTAACGGGAAGAATGTGTGCATTCTCAAGTCAGCAGCATTGATGACGTCACACATCTCATTATAATGCAACAAATCAATATCATATACTGCTGTTTGAAAATAGGTGTCATTTGAAAATAAGGTACCCAACGAGTGTCATATTATAACAAGAATGTAAATAATCCATCTTTATTTCATTCTGTCTTGAAAATAGATTCACAAAAAAAAATAAAGGAAAGAGAAAGATCAGAAGCAGTCCTAAAAAGGACCCAACCTTAACACAGAACACACTGGAAAAACACAACACTCAATTATACAATTGTTGTGCACACAGAAACGCTAAGGGACCATAATCTTTTTGTTAACAAATAAACATGTTCCCCTAGGTCTGCAGACAATTCCCATCCCAGTCACTCACGAATGACTCATTCCAAACTTGACAAAACCACATCAACTTCAAACAGGAAGTAAAACACCCAGGCTTGAAAATTGGGCGAGTTTCTTATCAGGAACATAAAACGGTAGTGTCATTTATTGCAAGAAGCTAACACTAAGGTCATTTACTTCTACTTTGATGTTGAGGAGTGATTTAGTCACGTTCCACGACAGTTCAGACGATTGATGGGAGATAACCCATGTCACATTTCTTCACCTCCGTTACCCATAAAGCCCTCCATCCTCCCAGCTAGCACCGAGAGTAATTAAGAGTTGTAATTGCAGCTTGTCTAGCACAATACTTTGTCTAATCAGAAGCAAATAAAGAGTACAACTGAGCTCGTTTAAGCTGAGATTAAGTGGAATCTCATAGATTTCTGGAGATTGGTGCCGCCCATAATCACTATGAAGCCATGTTTACTTAATGTTGACAATCTTGCCGCTAAGTCATACTAAAGGGATAACGATTGTAATCAGACAGTTGGATGTCCAATCAGAGTCAACAGTCAAAGACGATACCAGGAAACTTCTACACTGTAGTGTTAAAGGAGAGGTGGTGATTTATTGCATATCAGATTCGTACACAGATCAATACTCCTTCTTTTATTATAGCGACATTTGCTGTTTATTACGACTTACAAGCACTGTGGGGAATGCAAGGCGAAACTGTGTCAGGGGCAAGATGGAATTGGGAGACAATGTTATCACAGTAAGATAACCTCTGACCTACACTGAACTGCATTGTAGTTGTGGCCAGTCATCACAGCAACAGCTCCATCAGAGATCAAAAGGTAATGGAAGTATGGGTGCTGCTTCTCAGCTCTGTCTCATCTGTCAGCAAGCAAATGCTGCCAACTTCAGAATCGGAATGCTTACACAGGCAGAGACAAGTAGCAAAATATTGCCAATTCCAGCTTGGAACCATGTGTGCTTTATGGTATTGATCACTATGGCTACAGGCACCATCACAATAACTACACACTTGGAGAGAATGGGTCTGTGACTCTTGTAGAAATGTGGGCTTGTACTTCCTGAAGAGAACCCTTCAATCACATTTCATGATATTGCCAAGTGATGGTGTTTGTTTTTTCTCAAAATAGATTTTGCAACTGTCTGTATACGATGTACACAATTCAGGCTTAAATGGGGCTATTCCTGTGGGTGAGTGAGTGAACGAGTTTATAGGGAGATTGAGTGATTCAAATTTAAATGTCAATAGTAGAACAAACCTACTAAAATTTTGAGAAGTGAAAGAAAAGTGAAAATGCTGCATTTGAAAACGTTTTTCAAACAACTTGTGTTTCTGTTGTTGAGATTAATATCTTGTCAAAAACTCTTTAACCGTTGGCCTTCTGAATTATTTTTTACAAGAAATTAATCTCAAATCAATCATAAACACACGTTTTCCTATCTTATTACTTTTGCCTCCATGAAAATCTGTAAAACAAACTTAAATTGGGGTGGCCTAAGAAAGATGCTTTGACCAGTATGATGCAGAAGAGAAGTCTTTCAAATTAAATATCTATGTTAAAATGAAATTAGAAATTCTCTAACATTTCCATAATTTTTTCAATCTGTAGGTCAGCTTGAGAATATCCTCAAAGTGGAACTCAATACCCCTGAGACCATTGTAATACTTCATTCATTTGATGAACTCGCCAGCTTGCAAAGCAAAAAGCACCTTTTATCTTTCCATGAGCATACTTGTGTCTCCAAGATTAATATCCCAGACATTTTCTAAAGGATAAAATCTCTTTTTTCTTTCTGCTTTGCATATTCTAAATGACAGTTGAGAACATATACAGACAACTTGATGCCACTGACCTCACAAATTGACTATATGCCTTGAGAGATGACAATTTTCATAATAGGTAAGACTTGCATTTGAAATGTTAAATCAGGACTTCACAGCTACATAAAAAACCCATCTCAAATCTATATTCAAGACAGAAAAGGAATCACATAAAAAGTCTTTATCATGAAAAGAAGAAAACGTCTGCATGATAATCCTTCCATCCTCACTAAAGGCATGCAACATTCATAAAATAATTTGCATTTTGGTTGTCATGTTATTTTTGCTTGAATATGTATCACTAAATTATTTAGCAATGCGCACACGCACGCACGACTATCCAGTCACTCACCTTCAGGATCCACTCACTCACCCTCCACATCCACTCTCACTCACCCTCCAGATCCACTCACTCACTCACCCTCCAGATCCATTCACTCACTCACCCTCCAGATCCACTCACTAACACTCCAGATCCACTCAAGCACCCTCCACATCCACTCTCACCCTCCAGATCCACTCACTCACTCACCCTCCAGGTCCATTCACTCACTCACCCTCCAGATCCACTCACTCACACTCCAGATTCACTCAAGCGCCTTCCACATCCACTCTCACTCACCCTCCAGATCCACTCACTCACTCGACCTCCAGATCCACTCACTCACCCTCCAGATCCATTCACTCACTCACCCACACTCAAGATCCACTCATTCACTCACCCTTCAGATCCACTCACTCACATTCCAGATCCACTCACTCACCCTCCAGATCAACTCACTCACTCACCCTCCAGATCCACTCACTCACCCTCCAGATCCACTCACTCACTCACCCACCCTCCAGATCCACTCACTCACTCACCCTCCACATGCACTCACTCACCCTCCACATCCACTCACTCACCCTCCAGATCCACATGCACTCACTCACCCTCCACATCCACTCACTCACCCTCCAGATCAACTCACTCACTCACCCTCCAGATCAACTCACTCACCCTCCAGATCCCCTCACTCAACACTCCAGATCCACTCACTCACCCTCCAGATTCACTCACTCACTCACCCACCCTCCAGATCCAATCACTCACTCACCCTGCAGATCAAATCACTCACCCTCCAGATCAACTCACTCGCCCTCCAGATCCACCCACTCACACTCCAGATCATCTCACTCAGGCTCCAGATCAACTCACACACACTCCTAATCCACTCTCACCCTCCAGATCAACTCACTCACTCGCCCTCCAGATCCACTCTCACTCACCCTCCAAATCCACTCACTCACACTCCAGATCAACTCACTCAGGCTCCAGATCAACTCACACACACTCCTAATCCACTCTCGCACTCCAGATCCACTCACTCACTCACCCTCCAAATCCACTCTTACTCACACTCCAGATCAACTCACTCAGGCTCCAGATCAACGCACTCACCCTCCAGATAAACTCACTCACACTCCAGATCCGCTCTCACCCTTCTGATCTGCTCACTCACTCACCCTCCAGATCAACTCACTCACCCTCCAGATCCACTCTCACTCACACTCTAGATCAACTCACTCAGGCTCCAGATCAACTTACACACACTCCCAATCCACTCTCACCCTCCTGATCCACTCACTAACTCACCCTCCAGATCAACTCACTCACACTCCAGATCAACCCTCACCCTCCTGATCCACTCACTCACCCTCTCTATCCACTAACTCACATCGGGGCGGTTGGGTAACCCTGTGGTTAAAGCATTCGCTCGCCACACCGAAGTCCCAGGTTTGATTCCCTAAAGCCCATCCCCCTCCCCTCCCCCCCCTTGGATATTGCTGAAATATTGCTAAAAGCAGCGTAAAACCATACTCACTCAATTATTAACCATCATCAACTCACTCACCCTTCCAATCAACTCACTCACTCTTACATCCACACCCTCCCAATGATGCAGTTCTTACCTGTTGGCTGGAAAGAAGATGATAGCTGGAAAAGACTCTACTGTAAATTCCCATGGAAGATCATTGGTGTCACCATTTAGCCTGCAACAAAATGGCACAAAATGAAGACTCAGTAAGGCAATGCTATGGTAGCTTTTCACGAACTCAACCTTGAGTCCAGAGTGTGGATGGTAAGGAGGACATGAGTGTCAAACTGAGGGAAACTGTTCTTTGGTGCCCTGATCAAACCAGCATGTTTATCACTTACCACAGTCTAAAAACAAATGCAGATTGAGATGCAGAGCGTTTGTTTGTCACTATATTGCCAGGTGAGCTCCAGCCAACAATGTGTCCATGTTTGGGCTCTGTGCATTACATACATCTATATCAATGTTGATCCATGTATACATTATACACCATTTCTCTGTACAGAGCTTGAACTGGAGACATTACAGAGTTAGGCAAAATATTTCCTGCTGTGACTGCAGGCTATATTTTTTCCAGTTGTATCCTTTAGAAAGGTGATTGATTTGAACAGTATTACAGTAATGTCATGGCATGTCAGTTTCATAAGGGAGGAAAACCCCAAAGAGATGCAGGTCTGAAACCTTACCACTTTGTCTTAACCGATGAAGATGCTATTGGGCTGATACACTGAGAAACACAATCAGAGTGAATCTGCTTCTTGGCAGTCCTAGAGGGGTGAGGTGAAATTGGATTTAACATTGTGATCATTGCATATATAAATAGCGAAGTGTAGAAAGTGTGTGTGGTGTATTGGTCACTCCAAAAGGACGGAAGTGTGGTGCCTCAGACATGTTAGACTGTGTCACCCCTGCCCCTTCATAGCATACACGACTATCTGGAGCCCTGAGGTCTGCACAGTCAACTGTGGTGCATCAGACATGTTAGACTGTGTCACCCCTGCCCCCTCACAGCATACACGACTATCTGGAGCCCTGAGGTCTGCACAGTCAACTGTGGTGTATCAGACATGTTAGACTGTGTCACCCCTGCCCCCTCACAGCACACTCGACTATCTGGAGCCCTGAGGTCTGCAGTCAACTCTGGTGCTTCAGACATGTTAGACTGTGTCACCCGTGCCCCCTCATAACATACATGACTATCAGGAGCACTGAGGTCTGTACAGTCAACTGTGGTGCTTCAGACATGTTAGACTGTGTCACCCCTGCCCCTCATAACATACACGACTATCTGGAGCCCTGAGGTCTGCACAGTCAACTGTGGTGCATCAGACATGTTAGACTGTGTCACCCCTGCCCCCTCACAGCATACACGACTATCTGGAGCCCTGAGGTCTGCACAGTCAACTGTGGTGCATCAGACATGTTAGACTGTGTCACCCCTGCCCCCTCACAGCATACACGACTATCTGGAGCCCTGAGGTCTGCACAGTCAACTGTGGTGCCTCAGACATGTTAGACTGGGTCACCCGTGCCCCCTCACAGCATACACGACTATCTGGAGCACTGAGGTCTGCACAGTCAACTGTGGTGCATCAGACATGTTAGACTGGGTCACTCGTGCCCCCTCACAGCATACATGACTATCTTGAGCACTGAGGTCTGCACAGTCAACTGTGGTGCATCAGACATGTTAGACTGTGTCACCCCTGCCCCCTCACAGCATAATGGACTATCTGGAGCCCTGAGGTCTGCAGTCAACTATGGTGCATCAGACATGTTAGACAGGGTCACTCGTGCCCCCTCACAGCATACATGACTATCTTGAGCACTGAGGTCTGCACAGTCAACTGTGGTGCCTCAGACATGTTAGACTGTGTCACCCGTGCCCCCTCACAGCATAATGGACTATCTGGAGCCCTGAGGTCTGCAGTCAACTATGGTGCATCAGACATGTTAGACTGGGTCAATTGTGCCCCTTCATAACATACATGACTATCAGGAGCACTAAGGTCTGCACAGTCAACTGTGGTGCCTCAGAAATGTTAGACTTGGTCAATTGTGCCCCTTCATAACATACATGACTATCAGGAGCACTGAGGTCTGCACAGTCAACTGTGGTGCATCAGACATGTTAGACTGTGTCACCCCTGCCCCCTCACAGCATAATGGACTATCTGGAGCCCTGAGGTCTGCAGTCAACTATGGTGCATCAGACATGTTAGACTGGGTCACCTGTGCCCCCTCACAGCATAAATGACTATCTGGAGCCCTTAGGTCTGCACAGTCAACTGTGGTGCATCAGACATGTTAGACTGGGTCAATTGTGCCCCTTCATAACATACATGACTATCAGGAGCACTGAGGTCTGCACAGTCAACTGTGGTGCCTCAGACATGTTAGACTTGGTCAATTGTGCCCCTTCATAACATACATGACTATCAGGAGCACTGAGGTCTGCACAGTCAACTGTGGTGCCTCAGACATGTTAGACTGTGTCACCCGTGCCCCCTCACAGCATAATGGACTATCTGGAGCCCTGAGGTCTGCAGTCAACTATGGTGCATCAGACATGTTAGACTGGGTCACCTGTGCCCCTTCATAACATACATGACTATCAGGAGCACTGAGGTCTGCACAGTCAACTGTGGTGCCTCAGACATGTTAGACTTGGTCAATTGTGCCCCTTCATAACATACATGACTATCAGGAGCACTGAGGTCTGCACAGTCAACTGTGGTGCATCAGACATGTTAGACTTGGTCAATTGTGCCCCTTCATAACATACATGACTATCAGGAGCACTGAGGTCTGCACAGTCAACTGTGGTGCATCAGACATGTTAGACTGTGTCACCCCTGCCCCCTCACAGCATAATGGACTATCTGGAGCCCTGAGGTCTGCAGTCAACTATGGTGCATCAGACATGTAAGACTGGGTCACCCGTGCCCCCTCATAACATACATGACTATCTGGAGCACTGAGGTCTGCAGTCAACTGTGGTGCTCCAGCTATGGTAGACTTGGTCAATTGTGCCTCCTCACAACATACATGACTATCTTGAGCCCTGAGGGCTGCACAGTCAACTGTGGTGCTTCAGACATGTTAGACTGGGTCACCCCTGCCCCCTCATTACATATACTGGCTATCTGGAAGCACAAATACAGATGCAGACATCCCCTGTTCCCCTCTCTCTTGTCACATGATATAACACTGTTGTCTCTAATCTCTCCAGAGACCCAGCCCAGCATGATACATCCTGACAGTATCACCACATGACCACATGGCCACTTGACTCTTATCTGACTTGGAAATAATCTCCCAAATTATGTGTACTGATGGGCCTGTCAAGTCATTACGTGTTCTCTGTAGACATGCTAGGTGTTGAGAACCTCTGCAACACAATTATTAAGTCGTACATCTACGTAACTTATACTTTGGCTCAAGCTAAATTCACAATCACTTTCAACATAAGGCTATGAAAAAATAAACTGTTTCATTCTCATTTGGCAAAGAACTTATTCAAACTTGTGAAAATGTCGGCGGTCTGTAAATAATCAAGTCTGGAGCAGATAATCCAGTGATTGACATCATGAGCACAGATCCACACATTTGGGACACGATGACATGCAATCAACCAAGTCACCAAGTCTGACCACCCAATCTATGTAGTAGCCAGGTTGCTAGAGACCTACATTCTTACCCCATAATCCTCATGGGGGAAAGCCAAAAAGGATATCAAAACAAGACCAATGTCTACCTAAATGAGTATACAGGCTGTGATTGGATGACTCTAAACAGAGCATTCTTTGAGCTTCTGTATCGAATGGAAACAAAAAGTGACCTTTCTAAAATTTGTTGAGAAGTAAAATTGCTCCCGCAAAACTTAACAATAACTTTAAAATGATTTTGTGCATAGAAATGTCTCCATTTATATTCGCATGTGTAGACAACCAGATATGGCTGAGATTTATACATTGTTTGGCTGCTGTCTGCAAAGCATAATCCTGGAGTCTGCTGCATGAACCAGTTTAATATCATGTGTTAGTTTGTTGTTTAACATTGCACTCAGCAATATCACAGCTATATGATGGCGGTCTGTAAATAATCGAGTCTGGACGGGACAATCCAGTGATTAATATCATGAGCATCGATCCACGTAATTGGGATATGATGACATGCATCAACCAAGTCACAGAGAGCCTGACCACCCGTTCCCGTTAGTCACCTCTTACGACAAGCATGGGTTGCTGAAGACCTATTCTACCCTGGATCTTCACGGGTCCAGTTTAATATTACAATGATATGAGAGGCCTTACAGTCACGTGCCACAAAGATAAATATGATTTTCACATGATATCAGTCTGGCAGAGGAGTGTGGCCACACTGAATGACACTGATGACAAAATAGCATCAAAATAACTGGTCGTAATATACTTACAAAAACTCTTTTTGACAGGCACATATATACACACATCACAATCTAGTTTTTCACCATACTTTTTTATGTCTTGTATGGTTGGAGTTTTGAATAATATCAATTTTGAAGAAAAGAAACTAATATTTTTTTGTCACTTATTTTTTAAAACAATGTTACAGGAAGGTGTTTTACTTTTTATATGGTTTGAGATACAAGGCAACTGAAAAACTTGAAAACTTGAGAAAAAGAGCATTATCATCAAATAAACTGGGCACCTAAAAAAAATTTTTTCCACAGTTGTCAAGAGGAGAAGCATATGAAGGATGTCTACTTGTCAGTGATCAAAAGTATAAACAAATATTATAAAAAATGTGTTAGTAATCTTCAAGTTTGAAAACCTATAAAACTGGTAAAGCAAAAAGTCAAAGTCATCGATATACCCTGCCCTTTTAAATGGGTGTATATATATTTTGTTTGTTACTTAACGCCATACTCAGCAATATTCCAGCTATATGACGGTGATCTGTAAATCATCAAGTCAGGCCAAACAATCCAGTGATTGACATCATGAGCATTGATCTACACAACTGGGATACGATGACATGTATCAACCAAGTCAGTGAGCCTGACAACCCGATCCCGTTAGTCGCCTTTTACGACAAGCATAGTCACCTTTTCGGGCAAGCATATGCTGAAGACCTAGTCTAACCCGGATCTTCACGGGTCCGGTGGCTGAGTGGGTTAGATCACTGACTTTGTGTGCTGGTGATAAGGTGCCTCACTCGGAGAGTGTGGGTTTGAATCCCGAATGGGACTCAGTGAAGTATGCTATCTTCCAGACTAACAGTGTTCCTCTACAGCCTTCCAATGAGCACAAGAATGCTGGAAACCCTGGTCCCCACAGGGTTGTCTTGACATGGAGCAGAGTGCTCTTGATGACTTGAATGTTAATCGATGACTTTCAGCTGCACTGCTTCAGATCAGCAATAGACCTGAACAATGCTGTTAGGGTTCAACGATACATGACAGTTGGAGTAGAGTGGTCAACACCAACTCGTTCCAGCAGACACGCTTAACTTAAATTCTTGGCTACATGACACTCCATGTCCACAATTACCAGTGTCCAGTCAATATTTAAGCCAAAGTTGATATCAGAACTCATCTTCTCTCAAACACAATGATTTGCAATGATTGGAATCAACTCACCTGGCAAATAAAATTTTCTGCACTAGAAGCAGTATTTAGCTCACCTAGCAAATACAATGTCCTGCGCCAAAAAGCAGTATTTAGCTCACCTGGCAAAAACAATGTTCTGCACCAAAAAGCAGTATTTAGCTCACCTGGCAAATACAATGTTCTGCACCAAAAAGTTGTATTTAGCTCACCTGGCAATTACAATGTTTCTAGCAGTTTTCAACTTACCTGACAAATACAAAGCTCTGCACTCACTGGAATTAATTAACTCACCTGGCAATAACAATGCCCTGCTCTAAATAGCAATATTTAACTGTGAATACAATGCTCTTCACCATCTAGCAGTGATTAAATCTCCTGGCAAACACAATACTCCACACCATCTAGCAGGAATCAGCTCACCTGGCAAACACAATGCTCTAAACCATCTAGCAGGAATCCACTCACCTGGCAAACACGATGCTCTGCGCTGACTGGAAATACTTGGCCAATGAGAGGTAGACATGATTGATGTTGGCACAGAAGCCACACCATGAGGCATACACAAACAGCAGTACATCCTGTGAACAGATGAATTAACATTAAACCTCTGAATGCGCTCATTAATTTGGCAACTGTAGAAAAAGAACAATAAATCAATACACCTTCAATATATTAGCAGAATTGTAAGTCTTGAATCATCCACCAGACTACCACAGGTACAGAAGCTCACCTTCACCTCAATGAACAGGTTTCTTGCTTTCAAATACTTTGAACTGCCTTGATATGTCAAACAACAGCTTCTTATATGCTCTTTGAAAGGCATTTGGAAGTGATTCACATTAGATGAAGGAGTAAGCATATACTCCAAAACGTTGTGTTCCTCATAATAAAGAAGTTGACATCCATATATTCTCTTCCTTATGCTCAGAATGTTGTATGTATATTTGAAAGAATATTGAATACACCACAAATGTCCCCTATCCTGGTCAGAATCGTCCCACAGGTAGGATCTTTCTTCACCAATACCTTGAACCAAACATCTACAAAGAGGAACCGAGCCAGTGTGTGCCAGTCGAAAAGATGTTACATGCTGATTAACAGTAAATACACTTTAAGCATGTTAAGTCCTAGCCTTATTTATGAACTTTTACAATGTCAGATATTGCAAAAAAACTAAAGTAAAACATGTTATGAGTAACACTAGATGATCACACTGTGGTACAATTGTATCCTTCAGTGAATTTATGGCCTTGATAAACTATGAGTTAGGCCTTGCATTATTTATATGGGCTACAGATCTGCCAACGAAAAGTTTTGGAGAAAAAAGTTTGATTGGTTTGACATGGGTTTTTGGGTTTATTTTATGCTGTTTTGAGAACTTAAAGAATCTCAAAGTATTTGACATAGATTGAAAGGTTGAAACGTAACAAGGTCATGAGGGCATTCCTGAAACATAAAACGCAGCTATCTATAACACTGGTGTCAAAACTTTTTAAGTGCTGGTGGCACATTGATTGAAGTCCAATGTCTTGAGTGGGCTGACATTTTGAATTGAGGAATTACATACAATAGTCTGTTAATAATTCAATAAGCTTTTTCTGAAGTTATTATTGTTGACATATCTATTTACGTCAAAAGGTTGCGTTTATGGAAGTATAAATATTAAATTTGGTGTGCACACTTTGCGCAAATCTGCTACCCAGATCAGCACAGCATGCACAGCAGCTTGAACCTTCACCATGTTTACACTTCCATAAACGAAAACAAATATTGAAGTCAATTCTTAACAATGGTCTACCTGTAGACAGGCACTGAAAGTGTGTAGCACAGCTTCTTCAAAGCCATGTGGCCAACCCTGAAGAGTGTGTGAGTGAGTGAGTTGGGTTTAACGCCGCTTTTAACAGTATTTCAGTTATATCACGGCGTGTCAGCTTAATGTGGGAGGAAAGCCCGATGTGATGCAGGTCTTAGATGTTTACCACTTCGGTGAAACCCACGAGCACGGGTATGGTGCTGACAAACCTAGAAACATAATCGGGGCCAACCAGGATTTGAACCCGCAATCATAGGTTTCTGGTATGCCCAAGGGACGCAACTCTGCACAGCGAATCGCAGCACGTTAGACAACTGGTCCACTCGTGCCCCCCAACCCTGAAGAAACTGGACCAAGCTTGCAATATTCAGTTACACATCACCCTTATGGCACCACACAGTACAAGTAGCCACACACAGTCATGCACCCATGTTACTATAGAAGTGCAATAATCTTGAACGCAACAATAAATTCCATTTCACCTCACCTCACCACACACAACAAAAACCAGAACACGTTTTTGGCACATGAACATGTCAAGTTGAAACTAATACCCTTTTTTTATTGGTTTAATGACACAAAACAATGAAACGCAGCATTTGCAATGGCCATATAGCCTAAAATAGTTTCATTGCAATGACAAGAAGAAGCAATAATAAGGTTTTTGTTTTCATCAAGTTTTATGCTGGTAGTAAAAATGAAACATTCCCACATAGAATCTGAAGCATGAGTTACTTGACTGCTGATAACAGTCATGCAACAATAATCAGCATCCAAAGTGGTATCATGATAAAAACAATTGGGAGATATATCATCAACAAAATCATTGTATCACCAAATTAATTTCATCACTTGCTGATATTCAGTAGAAATTATATGTATTAGGGTTAATTAAAACTGTCAATATTTTTATCACCTTGATATTGATACGGACTTGCTCCATAGAGAAAATACCATGATATAAAATATCATAGAAAAATATTTGGAGACATCCCCTCAGTAAAATCATATCTCTTGCTGGTGGATGCATGCGAGGAATATTCAAAAGAGAAGTTTTTGCGACTGTGTACAGTATATCACACAGAGTTGCATGTCATTTTTGCAAGAAACTTGCGATTTACAGCACAGGAAAGTGTTGCAAGCAACACCAGGCTATAAACCTAGTGAGTTATAAACCTTTTTTACCACATCAGAGTAGAAATGAAAGTCTACCCACTGATCCAAGGAAGCTAATGGCGAAACAGACCTGTGGGGCTTTCAAAAACTCTCTTCATGCTAACCTTGTGCATCTGAAACTACAGAGGTAAAACAGTCCTGGAATTTTATTAGAGTGGGATGTTGGACTTATTCTGAAAATTCAGGTGGTCATTAGCTTTTTTGAGTAGCATAATATTAATAATGAAGTACTTTTGCCTGTAAGTTCAGCACAAAAAAGTCAACCTGTAACAGTAAAGTCAGGCAATTGAATATGATGCCTCAAGGTGAGTGAGTGAGTGAGTGAGTGAGTGAGTGAGTGAGTGAGTGAGTGAGTGAGTGAGTGAGTGAGTGAGTGAGTGAGTGAGTGAGTGTATGGTTTTACGCTGCTTTTAGCAATATTCCAGCAATATCACTGCAGGGGACACCGGAAAACGAGTTTCACTCATTGTACCCATTAGGGGTCTTCAGCTTGACAGGCCAACGCTTTAACCACTAGGCTACCCCACTGCCCCTGATGCAATAGTCCTTGGCAACCTACTACGTTTATACAATGACATCTTGACCAGCCAGACATTTTGTTTCTATTAAATTCATACTTGAAAAGTTTTTCAACACAATGAGAATTGTGATGAACAGTCGACAAGGTGACCTCAAGACTAACTCACTATCATCATCACTACAATTAATGATAACTGACAATCTGACGAAGTGGTCGGTAAATAAATCCTTAATAAACTGACTAAAGATCTGTGACTTGTCCAATCATCTGGAAGACCAATTCATTGATACAATTGTCTGGGCCGGTTCGCCCCGATAATGTTTCTAGGTTTGTCAGCACTAAACCCGTGCTCGTGGGTTTCACCGAAGTGGTAAATGTCTGAGACCTGCATCACTTCGGGCTTTCCTCCCACATTAAGCTGACATGCCACGATATAACTGAAATACTGTTAAAAGCGGCATTAAACCCAACTCACACACACACACACACACAATTGTCTGGGAAGGATTTCAGATTGATGCTATCATTGCTGCTTCTCCTCATCAACATTCGGTTCCTCAATTAGAAACTCCACATCATCAGAGTAGATAACTCTACAAGTAGTCTATTCCCAAGGTTAAGTTTCCAGAACATCCCGATAAGATTCCACTCATCATCATCATTGTCGATGAAAGTCTCATGCTTATATCGATAATCCTTGAGTGAGTGATTGAGTGAGTGAGTTAGGTTAAACGCAGCTTTTCACAGTATTAGTTATATCGCGGCGTGTCAGCTTAATGTTGGAGGAAAGCCCGAAATGATGCAAGTCTCAGACGTTTACTACTTCGGTGAAACCAACGAGCATGGGTATGGTGCTGACAAACCTAGAAACATAATCGGGGCGAAACCGGGATTCGAACCCACAATCATAGGTTTCTGGCGTGCCCAAGGGACGCAACTCTGCACAGCGAATCGCAGCGCCTTAGACGACTGGGCCACCCGTGCCCCCTGATAATCCTTGACAGAAGATAACGAGATATAGATGAGTTTAACACAACAGTCGTGAGTCTATGTTGAAGTATGGAAGTTACGATCATCTAAGCATTAAGATCACTTGGTAGAACAGGTTCCAGAATAGGTCCCTATTCTTGTTTACCTATACACATGATACACAGATTAATGTGGAAAGGCTGGATTATCGCAGATTGTGAAGTAAAACAATATTCTACCAACTTGGAAAATACTTGATTTTGATTGGTCAGAGGAATCAAATGACTATCAACTTCTGATTGAAAGTCTAACTTGACATCCGCATTACCGGGGAAGCTAATATCTTGTAATTTCTCAATCATAGTTGGAAAGCACTTTCTGATAATAATATGAAGGTTATGAAATACATTGTTGCAAGAAATGTTGCTGTTCTTACAATATTAAGGTATGTTTGGAAATAAATTTTAAACAGAAGAGCTGTATCACACACTTTAATGCCTGTTTGATTTGCGAGCAAAATTATATTGATGTAAAAAGCAATGTTTTAGAATATACTTGCTGCATGTTCGGTTCAAAATTCAATTTACTGCAATCAAATCTGCAGGTACCATGGGGCTGCAAAACAGTATGTTCATCTCCTTATTGACATACTCCCACTGGACACTGATGAATGTGAGATCCCCGTGGGGACCAGGAAATACATCCTCATCAGTCTGCTTGTCGTAGGTGGTAACTTATTTGGATCAGACAGTCAGACCTGGCTGACTGTGGTTGACTTGGTTGGTTGACCCTGATCAAAGGAAAGGTTGATAAAAATATCAACTGGTTTGACTGGCCAAGATTCATTTATTTAAAGGCTGTCATGAAAAAGCTCTGAGCTCCAGGTAAACTGTGTATGTGAATAAAATACACACAATAACTCACCATTACAAAATTAATTTTGAGTTGCTTGTGCATACAAAAACTAGTATAACAACACTGCATAATTACCCAATGTATCATCATCAACTGCACACACACATGATGCACACTACTGCAGTGAATAATGCATCAAAAAGGCACTACATCTCGCTTATTGATAATTAGACATGTATTCGCCA